CCTCGTGCCCATGTGCACCCGCGGGCTCGGCTCCGGGCGGGAGCGCCCAGCCCGTTACCCCGCAGCAGGGACCGTGTTCCGGAGAAAACACAGGCAGCAAATCACCTCTGCAGCCCCTCAGTCCCCAGAGCTGCAGCGTGTCACAGCCACCCCATGCCCCTCCCCAGGCATCCCACCATCACACGAACAATCTAACAGAAGTGCCAACGTCCAATGTGTGGAAAGACTTGCCAAAGAGCTGGAGGTTACGTCACACAGGATCTCACCCTGACACCAGCTGCCCACAGAGCGGCTGTTGGGGGCCAGCACAAGGAGGGCCTTTGTTCACGTTATCAGCACATCTGGGCTCGCTCTAACCGACAGAGAGGGCCGACACCTGCTCCGAGCCGCTCTTGCGCTGCCCTTCAGTCCCCACGCCGCAGGGAGGGCCACGGGTGCACAGCCGGGCACAGCTCACGGCCGGGGGCAGCACCAGCGACACGCCAGCCACACGCCAGCTCCAGCTCCTCACCGGGGCGGGCAGGCATCTCCTACCGGCTGAGGCTGCTTCATTTCAGCCCTTGCACTTTCTCCCAGTTTCCGAGTCACGTCATTTCCTTTAGCAGCAGCTTTCCCGGGACCACGAGGAAGGGGCCTGTGCTGCAAGCTCAGCGGGTTCCCTCCTGCATTCAGAGCTCTCGTTTACCGCCGCGAGTCTTGGAGCAGGGCTGAGCCGCTGCCTCTACAGCTTCTCCAGCACCATGGAGTCTGTAAAGAGCTTTTCCTGGCTATGCTTTTCTTATCCTTAGCACAAACATGCCACGGGCTCTGCAAACATCCGCAGGCTCTTATCGCACATCACCTCTCCTGGATTCTGCTCTCCCTCCCATCGCCTCCCTTGTTCTGACTGGCAGGAATCTCACTTTGTGTTGGCAGCCGGCGCGGGCGCGCCGCAGGCAGGCCAAGGCTCAGAACCCCCTGGCTCCTCAGCCAGCAGGAGACCCCCCAGTTTTTGCCTCCCCAGCCCCTCCTCGTCCCTCATGCTGCAGGCCACGCAGAACAGCGAGCAGCAGGGGACAGATCCCAGTAACAAACACTGCCGCGGGGGCCTCTGGCCTCGTCTCCTCTGGTTAGGACTGTCCCAGGTCCCCTGTTTCACAACCCAGCAAACCCAGGGACTCAGGTCTTCTCCCACCCCAGGTGTTTGCAGAAATCCCCTGTGGAACCAAAGTTCTGCCATGTCCTGCCAAAGACCCAGCAGCTCCAGGACAGAATCAGAGAGGACAGCAGACGGTCAGTTCAAAGATTTTATTTAACTGTCATAAAAGGAGAAGCAGACGATGATTCCAACCTGTTAACCTGGGCCTAGGATTTACAGACAATACGCACCAAATCAAATTAACAAAAATCTCTCTAGGGGCAGGGCAAGGGAGAGTTAGAGGCAAAGACGTAGCTATGAGAAAGCCACATGTACTTGGTCCCAGTTCTAATACAACCTCAACGTGGCAGGATCCGAATAAGAGGGCTGCGGAGCTGGAGTGTGCCTGCCCAGCCCTCGGGGGTTCCTGGGCCCCAGAGGGCTCCTTCGCCGTGTCAGCGCAGCGCGGGTGCAGGCTGGCGTGCTGCGGGTCTGCGGCGGGAGCCGAGTGTCAAGGCAATAAATACTGACAGGCCAGGCACGGATTTTAAAGGCAGAACAGATACATAAGGCATTAACCGCTTCTGAACGCTTGTCCGTGGCAAGCTCTTTGTTGATCGCATCAGGAGAGCAGCTGCAGAAACAGACTGGTCCGTCCTCAGCCCAAAACAGCCAGGAGGGCAGGTGCTGTCCTGGAATTTCAGTGCTTTGCAGCAACCTCGGCTGCAATAAGTGTGAGGTGACGGCAACACTGGTGACTCCCGCACCCGCCTGCTTTGCGACCCTCTCCATGCCTCAGAGGCGCTGAGGCCGCCAGAGAGTTCGGAGCTGTGCCGACAGGGCAGCTCTCTGGACACCGGGAGGGGCTGCCAGGCGTTGCCCAGGATGTCACACCACCCTCCCCTCTGGAGACGTTCTGCCTCGGGTGAAGAACGGACCAGCAGCAAAGCGGGAAGTTGTGAATCTTTCCTAATAACCCATGAGGGGCGTGACCACGATGAGTGCCGTGCCAACGAACAGGGGGAGGGTGGGTGGCATTTAAAAAGTGTAACGAGGGCAGGGCCCCCTCCCTAGAGGATACGTGTTACACATTAAGGCATCATGGTTACAGGGAACATCCACAAATGAAGCTGCCAGCGTTCCCAGGACGCTGATGGGGTGGAAGGGGCAGGCTGGACACGATTTTAGCCAACAAACAGATTCAATAGCTGCCTGGCATCAAAGTTCTTCAGCTACTGGGAGGCAGTAGCTACCCTGAGCTGTGCACAGGAAAGCCAAGCACAGGATCCTACACAGAACATAGGAGTCTCTCCCCTTCAGCACCCACCCAAACGAAGGAAGGTGAGAAGCACCAAAGGGCCCGGTGAGGGAGCAAGTGCCCCCACCTCTGCGCTGGGACAGCACAGCCCGGGGATGGGCAGCTGAAGACCAGATGCAGACAGCACGGTTCGGTCAATGCACTCAGTGATTCTCTGGGGAGGGGGCACGTTACAAAACTGAGCTCTCTGGTCAAATTATAACAGGGGGCGAAAGGTAAGAGGGTTCCAATGTCAGCACTTTGGTACAGGGGGGGATTTCTACGGTAGCCACTGTCTGATTCACGCTCTCTGGGGTTTGGCCTTGGGAAGGGCTAGTCCTTCCAATCCTTCTTGATGGTCAGGTTCCACTCCCAGGACAGGTGGTCAGTCTTATCATCATCTGTGAACTTGGATTTGATGTTGTAGCTGCCCCGGGCCAGCATGCCCTTAGGGGCTTCTTCCATGGGGGTCAGAAACTCGTACTCCTCTGCTCGGGGGCCGTAGCTCCCAACCATGTATTCGGTCTTGTCAACTAGAAGGAGAGAGAGAGGTGTACGGAGGCTGCTGAAGAGCCTCCCCTGGATTTGGGGCAAGGCTAAAGCAAATGAAAGGTCTGTTACTGCTGCAACAATCCACCGAGGAGCTGTGAGAAAGAGAACGTCACCCACTGTAACAGCTCTGTTCACTCCAGGGGCGGCTCCGGGCAGGGAGCAGTCCCCCCGCACCGGCACCGCTGTCAGCAGGGATCTGTGCACCGCCACGCTCCGGCAGGGATTACATGCCAAGCCCAGGGGTGCCGGCGCAGCCAGGACCGCAGGTGGCCACCCTGCAGCCTTCATGTGTCGCCACGGGCGCAGCGGCACAGACACAACTGAGGACTGTCTCCCCGCGCTGAGCCGTGGGGGGCAGCGGGCGAGCCCCCACCCCCACAGTGGAAGGAGCAGAAGCCCTCGCACAACGCAGCGCCCGAGTCACAAAGAAGCACTTACTTTTCACGCCTTTCCGGAACGTGTGCTGAATGTACTTCAACCCTGACACGATCTCCCTGTTAACCTGCAGAGAGACAAGCAAGGACTGTAGAAGCCATCTCCCAGCCACCCTGCCCAGCCCACCCACAGCAGGAGACAACTTCCTCCCCGACACGGCTTTTCAGGGCTCGGGCACCTCCTGTGCCGCTGTTCCACTCATGCTTCAGTTTTCAGATCTCAGTTCTTACCCTAAAGGAGATTTTTATCCGGTATTCCACACCCTCCTTCAGCACAAACGCTTGCTTCTTGTAGCTCTCCAGGTCACCTACAGAGAAGGGAGAGGGCTGCTCAGAGTCCCTTTGTGTTGTGCTCTGGGCCAAAGTCAAGTTGCAAGAGGAGACCAGGACAGTGTCTGCAGTAGCAGGGGATGACCCCGACTGCCTGGACAGCACGCAGGTCCTACTTTCGGTTGTGCACAACAGGACCCTCTGGGCTGCGCTGCCCAGGCCACCCGAGGCAGGCAAGCGATGCCCTGCGAGAGGACGCAGCAGCAGCAACGCTGTTGACTCAAGAACGTTCCTTCGCAGACTCTTGCTCCGAGGCCGCCACCATCTCGAAGCTGCTGTCAGCGCCACCACGCAGCCGGAGGACAGCTGGCTCCCCCGCCCGGCAGCTCGCCCCGCTGGGAGCTGGAGCAGAAAGGCCGGCTGCTGCGCCGGGGCACACAGCCGTGGGGCTTGGGGCGCAGGGCCCAGGCAGCTGATGCCAGCCTCAGCATGGGGGCACTCCTGAGGCAGGAGCCTTGCCCACCAGGCCAGCCGTGCTCCTGCGGGGCCCCCTGCCCAGCTCCGGGCCAAGGCAGCTTTGCCCGGCAAGAGGGGCTGACCCCTGCCCTCACTCACCTGTCAGGTCCAGCTCCAGAGGGCCAGGAGCAGTGGCGCAGACCAGGGTCAGTTTGGTCACCACCACATTTGGAGCATTGGGATCTAAAAGAGAAGCGGAAAGGCTGCTCAACACCCGTCCCTAACACCAACCAGCACAACTCCTTTTCCTTCCAGGGCACCTCTTGAGAGAGCAAGAAAACCGGTGAGAACACCCGCCTGGGTGAAGGTCAGGGCTCCCCGCTGCGTTAGGCCCAGCCCACATTCTCCCCACGAGCATCCCCCTCCAAAGGCCGCCCCCCAGCCCCCATGCCTCGTGCCAAGGGCCAGAGATCAGCACAGGGGAGCGCAGACACGTGCCTTTATGCTCCTGGCTGTGCTCCTGCCGAAGTGCAAAGAGCTGGGAGGAGAAGAGCTCCCGGAGGGAGCAGGGATGAGACCAGAGGTGACCGACGGAGCCCTGGCTTGAGCAAGGCACAGCCACGTCCTGGGGCTCACCTGCAGTCACAGTGACGGCACCAAGCAGCGCCTCCTTGTACTTGCGCAGGCTCTCATCATCCTTGTCCAGCTCCTGGATCTCCTGGATGCTCTTCTGGGCAGGTGGCTTATAGTTGACAGAGTGCTCATCCTCCTCGTTTTCAGCCGCGATCTGGGCCAGCTGCTCCGCCGTCGGCTCCTGCTCTGCCATCCTCCCGCACGCACGTCACACTGCAGTGGGAGGGGAAGTGTCACTGCACCTACCCACCCCCGCAGCGCAGGCTCCTTCCCAGCAGCACCAACCAGGCTTCCCCGGGATGGGCAGCTTCCCTGGAGAGACTGGCATGGCTCTCAGGGTGTCCTGGAGGTACGGAGGCAACTGGTGTTTCTTGGTATTAAAGCTTGACTCAGATTTAACACCAGGTGAAGGTGGGGGGACGATGTGACACTTTGGGGTTATCACCAGGGCTTTGGCCCTGGGTGGCACCAGCGTGTCTGTGTAGGGGAGCTTTTCCGCTGGACCTTCACACTCACAGCTCCCACCCACCGCCATGCTGACCCCTACACTTCACAGCTGGCCCTTCTCCATGGCATTCCCCAGTACCCTGGCACTGAACATTGTGGAAACTGGTATTCAAAAGGCCATTTAATCTCATGTGACACATGAACAACCCATCAGATTTCACCCTGGAATCTGTGTATCAAACTCAACCACTTCCTTTGTGCTCCTGTCCAAAAAACTCTCCAGCCTTGAGGACTCCCAGAAGCCCTGAGCAAACACTCAAGCATCTACCGCTTGATCCCCTTATCGCAGTCCTTAATCTCGCCCCCAGGCTACATTCCACCTCCCAAGCACTACAGGTCCTTCTCTCCATAGGCTGCAGAACTGCTAGACGTTCCTTCTACGACACCAGCAGCTGTCAGGAAGCGAGGAACTCTCAGTGAGAGGTTTAAAGAACTGAATTCCCACGTCACCGACTTCTGTTGACTCCCAAACTCTCTGTGATGGAGCCCTCTTTGAAAGCGTGAATACAACAGGCAGACGTGCCCACGGCAGACCAACAGCGCCCACAGGCACATCCCCGACAGTAACGGGTCCCCTTCCATGGCGTCACCATCCACTGGCATGTGCCGCCGTCCGATGCTTGGACCAAGCAGACAGAACTTCTGACAAATGGCCCGATTGGGCCCTGCAAGCGACAGGCTGCAGGGGGCGCCAGGCGGGCTCTCCCCCAGTCCGAACAGCCCATGCTGTGGACCCTGCACACCGCAGCTCCCGACAGCAGGGCCAGGCCTGACGATCGCTGTGCTCTGTGCAGGAACGGCCCGGCGCTCGTTCAGCAGCGCTGACTCCCAGCAGTTGAAATGGCGGCAGCCGACCTCCTGTCCTGAGCAGGTCAGAACCACCTTCGTTTGGTCTCGCCCAAGCATGGAGCTACCATGCACTGATCACCGCCCTCCAGATGTAACAGGCAGGGCCACGCTTCCCTCCCACACATCACCAGCACCCAACCTTCATCAGCACCGTTAGAGCAACCCCTCCTACAAACAGACATTCAGCAATAACCATGCCGAGGGCACGGGAAAAAAAAAACCAAACAAACAAACCCCAACCAAAAAACCAAATCCCCAGCTCTTCAGCTGTGTTCCTGGGCCTCTGGCCTCAATCCTGCCACCCAGAGCTAAAGAAACAACCACGCACCCACATGGGTTAACAAAAGACCAGCCCGTTCTCACGGGGTCCCTAAACCGATGGAAGTCACCGGAGAGCGAAAACGGCTCTTCAGGCCCACACCAAGCACCGTTCCCAGCAGCAGCTCAGGCCAGGCCGGGGTCCAGCTCTCTGAGGAAGCCCTGGAGAAACACTTCACCCCTCCCAAGAGGCCTCCCCAGGAGCGGCAGCCAGAACGACTCCTCTGACCAGGCTGTGCCAAAGCCGCTGCTGCAGCACTCCCGAGAGGAGCAGACTCACGGCCCCAGCCGGAGACGAGGGTCGACAGGCACCCC